AATCCCCGCCCCTCTGGAAAGCCCCGCCGGGTCCATCCTTGGCCCTCGACGCCCGCCTCACGGAAGGTCGGGACAGGCCTACACGCTTGGCAGAGCCTATGCACTGGCGCGGGAGCCGAGAAAGCTCAGGCCTCGCTGACCAGAGCCCTGGACGGCCCCTGCCGCCYCTGTTCCAGGCCTATGGTGACCTCCTGGCCTCCCTGGGGGCACCTCTGGGAGCTGCCTGAGGAGGCCTGGCCGTGGGTCTGCGCCCAGCGCTCTGGTGACCGTGATGGAGCGGCGGAGAGCACCAGGTGGGTGAGGCTGCGGCGCCAGTCAGGCGGGGACCCGCGTAGGCACTGGTGTGGAGGGACCAGTGGCCAGGCCGGGCTCTGCTGCCCCTGCCCCGTAGCTGCCAGAGCCCGCGCCTGGTGACGCGTGGTCCTCTCCTCACGGCGAGGCCACCAGGAGCTGCGCAGGGCGGGGCATCGGCCCTGCGCCCCAGAGTCCCCAGCGGAGGCGTCCTGGGGAGGGCCTAGGTGGGCTGAGTCCCCACAGTTGCCACCTTTGTTCCTTCAGGTGTGCAGACAGGACGCTCTGTCCTTTGTGTGTCTCAGGCTCTGGTTCAGGGTCAGGGTCAGGGTCAGGGTCAGCTTTGTCAAAGCAAGAAAGGTCGGAAGGTGGATAGGAGCTTGTCAGCCGTGGCCCAACGCCGGGCCCCCCAGTGCCTCTCTAGACAAGGTGACATCTGGAGCCACTACTGGCCTCACCCTGCTAGCCTGACTGGTGGGTTAAGATGGTCACCCCCTGGGTGTGTACACCCAAATCCAAGCAGGACACTGGGAGGTGAGGGGATGGGCCAGGCCACAGACTCCTGGTGGTGGTCAAGGTCATGGAGGGACATGGAGCACCTGGGAGGAGAGTCCATGGGGCCAGCACAGGGGAGGGTGCCCATGCCCTCCCCCCACAGCTGCCAGTCTTCCCTGGCCAGGTACTCTAGGTTGGCAGGCTGGAGGAGTGGGGAGGTGGCCCTGGGGACAGCCAGCTAAAGGCAAGGGTGGGCGGCACAGCCCCAGCCCAGTGGCTCCCAGAGGAGGCTGATGAGGGCTGGAAGTACCCCCATTTGAGAGATGGACAGGGAATGAGCTGTGGCTGAGCCCCTTCCAAGTGCCCTCCCCCAATGTCACTTTCCCCTSCTGTCCCAGAGGACCCATATGGCAGACTCCGTGTCCAGATGTGGTGAAAAATCCCCACGAACCCTCATTCACCCACCTGCACTGGGTCCCGTTGTTATTTTTCTAATTTACAAAACTTTGTAATGTGGTTTCTGGTTTCTCCCAAGGGTCATTACTTGCAAGTAAGGAGAGCCCTGGAGAACTGCCTAAGCAGTGGCCCCAGACCAAGGGAAGGGGAAGTTCTTGGGGGGACCCCCCCCATTCCTGCTGGAGAGACCTATCYAGGCCCACAGAGGCGGGCACACTCCTGCATGTGCAGGACAAGCCACCCTTTGTCGTGCATCCCACGATCACAGATGGCAGGTGGACCACAGGTGGGGTGGGGAATTCAGCATGATAAGGAGATCACAGACAGCAACGTTTACTCTGGGTGACCCAGAAGAGGGCCTGGGTGGCTTTGGCTTARGCTGGCTCTTCCAGGCCTTCTCTGAAGAGCCTTGTGAGAAAMGAGGAGACAGCTCCAAGGGCCGAGAGCAGGGCACAGGCCAGCCCAGGTGCTTCCAAGTCCTCGCCTGCAGCTGCCACTGTGCAGAGTGTTTCCTGGTGGGGGCCAGGTGGGGTGCCTGGCCTAGACTTCTGGGTCCCTTCCTCTTTGGCTGTTCTAACGGAGCCCTTTATCAGTGTTAGAAGGAAGTTTCCCCTCTTCACAGGTTATCCAAGATGGACTTAATGAAATCAGTCAGCTTGGGGGACTCTTGGTAAAGGGTTTGCCTCAGAGGGCGGRTGCTTCCCTCGGTCACTCCCAATATCCGACCTGAGAGAGCTGTGCTGAACCTCTGTGAGGAGGAGAGGGAGAACGTGGAGGGAGCCTCCTGTCCCCAGGGCTGTGGGTGAGGCAGAGGAATTCACATTCATCATGTCTTGCTTCCAGGACCGTCCAGTTGCCACTCAGTGACAGGACATCTGGCTCAGTGGTCTCCTGGTCTCCATGCTCAAGGCCCTTTCGACACGTTTCCAACGGTTGCAGACCAACACTTCTGTGAAGTACCATAGAAGTGAGTAGCTCGATAAATGAGGTTYGAAGGAAGCCAAGGACTCACGGTCCAGGCCTGTGGTCACTTGCTGGTCGTGTGGCCCTGAGAGCTGCTGTGATGCTTTAAGAGGTCTAGCTTGGACCTCTGTCCTGAGCCAGCAGTAGGCTGTCATGGTGTGGACCAGCAGCAGCTCAGCCCCAGGGAAGGAGCAGCCCTCTTCCCCCTATCYGGGGGTCTCCTGCAGGCTGTGGGCCAGGGCTTAGAGGGTGCTGCCCCTCCTGAGCAAAAGTATAACAGGACTTCCTGTGGGAGGGTCACATTTGTGATTTGCTCCCATCCTCTGGGCCTACTCCTTGTGCTACGGTACAATCAGTTATTCATTCAATAAACATTCTCTGAGTACCTACTGTGTACCAGGTCCTCTCCTGGATGCAGAGATCATCAGGGATGAGGATGGTTCATATCTGGGACTCTAGGGACGGTACCTGTACATCGGTCGGGCAATGGCAGATGGCTTAAGTCCACATGGAAAAAGTTGAATGGGAGTACCTGTATCCTGGGGGTCTGTAGAGGTGGGGGAGATGGCAGGCACAGTCCCAGTGAGG